CAACAATAGTACAAACCCACTAGTAACTAGTGAAGAGAATAAAATTCTCAAACAAAAAGCTAGACAAGTTTTATAAGTATCCTTAGCAGAGGAATAAATACTGTTCTCATTAAATGATACTCAAAAATATATTCATAATCATTTTCTAAGAATAATAGCACAATAAAAATCTGGGAAAAGTACGAGGTGCTGTAACAATTTCGACCTAATACGGCTAAAATACAATTTATCAAGAACAAAAATTCTGATAGGCAAAGCAAAAAAGAAAATTATAAACCTCGTTGCGGTGGAGAGTTATCTAATTATCTAATAAGTTATCTAATTGAGCATAAATTTCAACTAGATATGAAAGAAATGTAGAAAGAAAGAGGGTAAACTGAACAACCGACCAATTTCTTTACAATTGCGCAGGCTTGACTATATTGGGCATTCCACTATGGAAATTTACCAACTATGAGCTTGGTAGATATACCAAATATGGAAGATACACCCCAAAAAAATTATATGTTTTTTCAAAGGCGCAGTTGGTTTGGAAACTTGGATTTTTATGCCCGAATGTGGAGTAATAAAACGAAGTGTATGCGCTATTTAGAAAACAGAGGGAACATAGCAGCTACTAAAACAACAAGTGTAACCCTGAAGAGTCTTGAAATAACAAATGTTAATATTAGATAATACTTGAACGTTTTTTTATTATGTACTTATTATTCTATATTTCAGGAAATAAAAGATCACATCGGTAAATTATTATTACTAAACATTGGTCAATGTTAATGGCATAAAAGATATACTTGATATTTGATTGTTCTCAAAAATAATAAATGATTCAGAAATTCAATAGAGGAATGGAACTTAAAAATATGTGCTTTGAAATAGATAATTATATCTGAGCTTGCTATAACCACAAACCGGATAAAAGAAAACGAGTACATAGAGAGGTGTATAGAGACGGTAGAATCTAGAATATAAGATGCAGAACATAAAATGCTTCGATGAATAAAATTATTGTAATTATTGTTACTTCTTGTTTTATAAAACATTTCTGCAGAGGACCAGGTTAAAGAAGAGATCATATAAAAAATATATAGGTTTTTATGGAAATCTTTTCGCTAGTTTGACAAATGTTAGGTTGATTGTCTAATAGTGGATGCCATAAATATAAAATAAAGATTTTAGATTAAGATGTGAAAAAGGGAAAATCTATAATTCAGATTTTATCCATTAACTCATAATATAAGTTAATAGATTATTTGTATTGAGATACAAATTATGAAATTAAAAATTCTTTTTTTTATAATATTAAGAAAACTTAAAATACGACACAGACATATTATAGTAAAATATATTATAGTAAAAACAATATAAGTATAATATTGCTGAAAGAAATAAAATAGACTTCATTTTAGGTTTATTATTATTAATTAATAATAGACTATGCATGCACACCGACCTAAAAGTTCTTGACTAAAACAATTCTTGACTATTTATAAATCTCGTAATTGCTCTGGACTTAATTTTACCGATTTAATTTGGGACTAAGATTCCGCTTCTAAGGTAGTCGAGTCTACGTCTTACCACCGCTATGCAGTTGCATAGAATATGTTCTGATGTTTCCTTCCTTCTTGACTGATGCATGCCTTTTTGGGCTCTCTCATTTTGGATTTACTCACATTATTGGATATAACAATAGCGTAATAGTCTGACTATTAGTATTTATACTAATAAATACTTTCAGCTTTTCCTAAAAATAGCTGTGTTAACCTAGACATAATAGAGTAGTGATTTATCTAACAGTTTTTTTAAGGTTTTAGAGTTCATAATTTTCAATAAATGTTAGATGGAATGACTAAATCCATTTTCTGACGACCGCATGAACATATACCAGAATCGTTTTATATATAGAAATAAATTTAAACCTGTTTAAAATTGTTAACCTGTGAGCATTATTATTCTTGACTCGAATAAATCGTTAGGAAAGTTGAAAACTCTTCGCGCTCTTGTGAATAATGAAGTCAATTTCGATTGGTCAGATTCATATGGTATATGCAAAAATCCACTATCAGACTTGTGTGTCTAAAACGTTAGATAATTGCCTGCAAAAGCATCCTATCGTCAGCTTCATTTGTTGACTCAGTGCGATTCCCGTCGATGTTCGCGAACATAAAATCAAAATTCAGAGTCTTATTCAGGAATCGTTGAAATGTCTGAATAGCATTACGTAGACTAAAGGTAATCAAATTGAACTCAAAAATGAAGTTGCAATTACTATACTAAGGATGTCAGCTGGCGTAAAGGAACTCTATAAATAAGCATAAATATTATTTGTGACAGATATGATATTTCAAATAAATGGTATCTGTTATTGATTTGGTTTTGTTTGCAATTTGATCATGCGAAAATGACAATAAGATTTCATTCTTTCACTACGAGTATAAAGAGAGTTGACAAATTCCCGTTTGCTCCAAAAACTGGAGTTACTGTTTTGCATCCTCATTGCTGCCATCACTGTATTGAATTAAGTTAATCATTTGTAATAACCACAACCACAAGGATTTTAGTCAACAACTCTGATTGAAATCTGATTTTACTACATAACATGAATACCGTACTCTCGTAAATTCTACATTCCAATTCAATTTTCGTGAAACTCAGTTACACAGTAAAATGCTAGTAAGAATGGTTACTGCAATTTAATTGGATATTCTGCGTTTAAAACATATGTTATCACAAATTTATACACCTTCATGTATTCTAGATATTGAAAACTGATACTAGTGGTCATAGGTATAAGATTGAAAAAGGTTTAATAAGCGCTTGAAGGTCCAACGCTTACTGATATCAGTTGGGGTTATCAAATTTTAATCTGTAGTCATACAGGCTCAAATACAAGATAAGCGAAGTTTCCTCCATGTTATTTCATCATTATGATCTATGAGGTCATTATAATCTATTGCTAACATTTGACAACTTTATTTTCTGTGATTCAATTGTTGTAGTTAAAAAAAAGTTAGAATTACTTTAAAATGTTCGCCTTCCTACTTAATTTTAACTACTTTGAAAAGTACAGCTTAAAAATCGTATAAATTTTTTGATCCCATAAGGCAAATAGCGTCTTGTCGCACCAACACCTGTCGTAGTTGGTTCAATATGCAATGAATATTTTGGGAAATAAAGTTTTTTGAACTAGCTTGTTATCCTACATTTGGACTATATTTTTTTCATTTCATTTCCCCAGCTTTCATTACCGCCCCTAAACCAAGTTTGTTCTCTTTTTCAGAAAATATACGTGCGGAATTGAATTCTCACTGGTCCCTTTTTTTATATTTTTTAAGAACTTACCATAGTTTAATTTTAAATGTAAACTTTTGGTTTTTATTCAGTAAAAGTTCAACTTTTTGGGAAACCTTATTTTTGTTTATTTGATTTGGGTATATTCTGTTTTAAACCAGCTTCTTTTGAGCCAGTAGTTTTATAAATCCACACAGATATCTGGGGTATGATTTAAAATTTTTAAATTGCATTCTAAAGTGTTTATTTTACCTAAAAGTATACTTCGTTTATTTGCAACAGTTACGATTGAGCTTGGGAAAATTAAAATAACACTAGTTTACAGCTAAAAATTTCCAAAGACGAGACTTATATTTCCTATAGGAAAATTTTTCGTAGAACTCGAAAATCACAACGATTTTTTTTTCCTGTGTACCGTTTTCGAGTTATTTGCAAAAAACCGTTGTTTTGACTTTTCTCAAAACATCACCCTGCATATGGCCCCGTAACTTTATTTTTGAAGTTTTGATAGTAGTGCGTGATATATCAAATTAAAGGTGAAACTTGTACAAACATTTTAAGTTATATAACGTTAATGTAACTTATTTGGTTTCGCTGCTATAGCTGAAAATGTACAGATTAAAAATGTTTGATTTTCAATGTGATTGGACTCCCACAAAAATATTTAAAAAAAATTATTTTTTTAATTGATATAAAGACTGTTTTAGTACAAACATATCGAGTGGCTTAACATTAAAATCGAATAAAAATATCAGAAGTTATTCGCCATTTTCCAAATTTGCCCAAAATAGTGGTTTTTATTAACAAATCAGAAAAATCATTATTTCACATTTATTTTGTAAAATTTGGAGGGCAAATCAAAATTGTATTATGTAAAATTGTACAAATTTTATTTAAAAATTAAAAACTAATATTATTAAATCTTAATATATTGCATTTTATATAGCGTTGGCGGCGTGAAAATAAAAAACATTTACCGATTGGATAAGCGCGGAAATCACAGTTCCCGTGATTAAGTTCTTTTTTGATCACAAGGAATATTTATATATTATATAATTATATTTTATACATTATTAATAATTAATATGTTCATTTAACAATGGAAACTGAATAAAAACTGAACAATAATCTACCGATTATTAAAAACACTAGAAACAATTTTTTATTAGAAAAATTAAAAATGATGTGATATGTAATAAAATTGGCTTAATTTTGTATAATGAATTTATTGAACTAAATACTAAATGCCTTCATTGGTAAAAGCAGCTGATAAATGTTATTCTTAAATAAAAACTAAAGTTTTAGGAAAAGACTTTAAATAATGTAGGAGACAAAAGCAAAATACTGACTTAAATCATGTAAACCCACATTATTCTTAAGACTCGTCAACGAAAACAACATGAAAACAACGGAAATATAATTTGCAGGTTATTGGTAATCAACCAGCTGCCATGCTGGGGCATTTGTCTAAAGACGTTGGTCAAAATATTTGCTCTATAGATGATAGTTGTTTTGTATTACTTAATACAGGTCGCGAGCTTGTAGAATCAGATAATGGTTTACTTTCAACAGTTGCACATAAACTTGGTCCAAATGCAAATACTTGCTATGCATTGGAAGGTGCTATATCAAATGCAGGATCAACTGTGTCGTGGTTAAAAGAAAGTTTAAAAATAAATACTGAAATAAATTCAAATGATAATGTAGTTGAGCTACTAAATACTTACCTTGGTGAAAATTCTATGATATCATCATCATGTTCGTCAAATATGTTAAATACTGATTGTGGATTAGCGTCGAACCGTTCTGAAATAACATTTGTACCTGCATTTAATGGGCTATATTCCCCATATTGGCGTTATGATTCAAGAGGGTATTTTATTTAGAATAAAGTTAATACATTTTTGATTTGCTAACTGATTGACATTTAAGAATAATGTTGGGATTAACTAGTCAAACAACCGCACAAAATGTCACACAAGCTGCATACGAAAAATGCTCCAAAGTTTTGGAGCAATAGGATTAAAAATGACGTTGCGCCACTCGAGAAAAGTTGATTAATAAGATATTGATGAGCAAAATCGGTTAAAAATTATGCGCAAAACACAATAATTAGTTAACCGACTGTGCTCTGTTTTCTATTTCATACCTTTTAGCTGGCATGCACAATGCAATCGCAAATGTTTACAAGAAACGGAAGAAACATAAAAATAAAAATAATACATTTTTACTTAATAATTTATATAGATATTTAAGTACAATTGAAAATGTAGTCAAAACAAGAATTTTTTCGTAAGCAAAAAGGAAATGGTCGTACAGGGAGTATGACTGAAGTTAATATCTTTTTAGCAAACGAAGCAAGACCGGCTAAAAATTCCATTGATTTTAATTGAAATAAATTCGATGAAGAAATTTGTCTCAAAATGGAAGCTGAATCTTTAGTCACAGTTCAACAAAATTGGGATAACGCAGACAGAACTATTCAATTTATCACTCCTAGTTTAGTTTCCGCCCTTGACAAATGCAAGGTTTCGGATCGCTACGCTATACATATTTTGTAGTAGTAGGTATGGTTACCTGTGGCGCCCAGGTGCCATCTAAGATTCTCGGCGAAATGGCAAAAATCATATACTTACTAAAAATGTTTATTTTTAGAGATCAATTTACATATAACTCAAATGATTTGTACGAGAGATATACATTTTTATGGTAAGCATATGTGTGAAAATTTTAACCCACACTAGGTTAGGTTATGTTCGGAAGGCACGTGACAGTTGTCAGCACTTCTACTCGGTGACATATATTGCCCATTCGGATGCCCTCAAAAAATTTTACCAGCAGATGCGAGTTGCTAACCTTTGTTATCTTTGTTAAATCATTTGGTTTGGACATTAAAGTAGCCTTGTCTGAAGTCCTGGACAGAGACACAGGAAGTGGTTGATAGATTTTACCTCCTCTTCATCTTGGCAACTCCTGCATAATCCAGTTTGTTGGAACTCGCCACCGTTGCAGCATAAGCGCAATGGCACAGTGCCCCTTTAGTACTCCATAACGGACACGAACTGTAGGTTTGCTGAAGCCTAAAAGGCTTTTCGTTTTATTTTTGTCCAACTTAGGCCATACGATTCTAGCGCCCATACAGTCTTCGCGGTTAGTATATAAATTGTTAGTCACCGTATTGATTTCCTCTATTATTTTAAACTGTTCGTTGCATGTTATTTTTAAACATATCGTTGCATGTAATGTGAGCTCGGCCTCTCCTGTATGCAGTTCAGAACCTTTTCTGGCCATCTCATCTGCTAGTTCATTTCCTTAAATATAGCTATGTCCAAGTATTCGAAATGTACTATGTCCAGCAAAGAGAGACCTTATGATATTTGATGCTCATCAGTGAGTCGCGACATTTTAATACTATTTTGAAATTTAGATTCAACTGCTTTCAGTGCGGCCTATCTACAAAAATCGTGATATTCCTTCCATTTTTGAGCCATCTGTGTAGATAGTAACTGTAGAGTTACCCGTCACAGATAAAAGCTTCCAGTTATCTCTGGTTAGATAAAGAGATAAAGAATGAGGTCATTTTCCTCAAAGAACCTTATTAATTTCGTGACCGAAGAGATAACACATTTTTTTGATCGTTTTTGCCTGTTTAATAGTTTTATCAGTTACGATCCTTTGTCATGGAAAAATAAACTTAATCAAGTAGGGTCGACCTATGACGTTACTTGAAATGCAAAGAAGACGCAACAAATGTATAATGAGAATAAAAGTAAAACTAAAACTAAAAAAATGTGGCAAGCAAACTATGAAGTTTGCGAATTTCTAAGTTTACAGATAAAAGGACAAGAGCCTCAATATGTACTTAGTTAATTTCATACTACATACGTTGACAAAATCTTGAACGTAGTCAAATATTGGTTGTTTGACCCAAAGAATCTTTGAAAAATCAAATCTTAATTACTAAGCAAAGATTTTAAATAGATCTAGAATGCCGTTTCTCCTGTGCTCGTTATTAAGACCAGTTGTTGAACTGTCTGTTATTAAGAAATTTTAATATCTTAACAAAAATTGAAACTGATCGCGTCATATATAATCGAATTTTATTTAGTAAAGAAATTTTATGAGGAATTTCATTTTTTAATAAATAAAATAAAAATATTTTTATTTAATCAAAATTCTATAATATCATAACGAAACATATAATGGGATACTGTGTCCCATCCGATTTCCAAAGAATTTAAATTCCATCCGAAATATCATATATTTTATTTAAGCTTTAAATATATAGACTTCAAGGCTACAACTCCAAGGCTACAAATTTATTTCTGAAGTGAAATGGATGTGAATGTAAAAGATATATGTGGTTTCAACAAAACGGTGCTATGAGTCACATAATAC